TGAATTGCCATTTGTTTCAATGGGAGCTCCAGTCACCATATATTCTGTCATTTTATTTAATTGTCTTCCATATGTCAGATCCCCATTTCAAAGAAGCACAGTTCTCCAAAATCTGTTCTTTAGATTCATCACAGAACAGCCCTGTTGGCCTTCACCCAATCTCCAGTCACTGAAACCTGTCTGTCTTCTGGTGTTGGTGTACATCTCTTGTTCTGAGGTTCATTCTTCGTTACCTCATCTTACTACTTACATATTAAACAATCACCCCTTAAGATACCTATTGGTTACATCTGTCTTTGGTAGGATGATTGATACTGGAGTCATACAGCTTTACAAGTTACATCATGAAATTGTGGCCCAGGTTTTGTAAGTACTGTTTTGTGTTCGCAAGGCATGGTATCAAGCTGAACCTCTTAACGTTTAGATAATTTTTACCGGTGAGTCATCAAAATATTCGTGGCAATTGTTCAAAATTTGCTACAGATGTTGAGCTTAATTTTTCATGTGGATTGTTACATTTATATTCCAAGTTAAAATCCTTCGTGCCACTGTATTTGGGTGCCCTACTTTTCAAGTGTGACCTCTGCATCTCTATTGCGCTTGTACCCTTTAATGATGACCTATTTGTTCCTGTGCCTTCAAGCTTAGAGTTATTTATTCTTATCTAAGTTAGTAATTAATAAAGCAGTATGTAGATAGATAAATGGTGCGACTGGTGATGAGCTGACACAAGACACATGTTAAGGGATGGAGAGATAAAGAAACATGGGAGGAACAAGTGCCATCAATAGAGGTGAAACACTCGGTCTGAGGAAGCAAGGCTGCAGTGGAGTAAATGGTGTTCTTTTCTGTCCAATATACCTCAGAAGGGATGCAGCAAGTATGCATGCAAGAATCTTTGGGATAACTGTGGAATTAATTCCTCTAATGTACTAGCTTAGTTCTTAAATTCTTCATTATGAATCTACTGCTGTTTAATCTTCTTTTGGGGTACTAATTTATGATTGCACAAGAACTGGAATGTGTGTGATGCAGACCTGGAGAAATGGGCTGAATAACAATAAAGTGACTTGATCTAGGAGAAACTTGGAGACAGAATGAATGAGAGTGTTCTGTACCCCCTTATTTACTCCCTCTCAATATCTAAGTGTAGTTTTCACTTCTTCACACTCTATCACTTCAGGGTGATGTATCTCAGATCACTCCAAATGTCATTTGGTGTCTTTATACACCTATGAGAGTGGTATTTGCCAAATAGCATGGTCACAGTTTGACAGCTGATGTCAAAATACAGCCAAATAGTAAGTTGTGTGACGGGTGCACATGACGTTCCTGGTAGCTGCTATTAGACCAACGTCTGTCTTCTAAGATTTCTCTTACTCCTTTTGACACTGGTCTTGCCTTTCTTCTCATGCTTATTTCCCCTTACTCCTTATGAAGCTGCTACAGGAAAACGAATTCATGTGATTGTGGAAGTTATTAAGAGAGAGCAACTGATTGTGCATTATATGTAATTGGAGAATAGGACTCTGGTTGAAGATGACAGTTCTGAGCAGATAGCCTTGGGGCAGAGGAATTTTGATGTATAAGGGTCCCTTCTATTAATGCAGTGAGGCAATGAGAAGAGGGGCAATCTCTTGGGGCAATGACACCCAGTTCAGAAACACCAAATGATCCTCTTAAAGTGTGGTATCTCACACCAAAAAGAGTATTTCTTTACACACAGAGTCTGGAAAAATCTGTAGTACATCAGAAAGGGATAAAATTACAGCTGATGACTGCATTCAGACCTTTTAGTATTAAAGGTGACATTAAGTGCATATTTCAATATGACTGATAAAGTTACATCCATCTCTTTCTACCTAAGCCAATTTTGTATCTGAACAGATATAGCAAATACAGATACACATGCAAATTTACTTTATAGACTGTACAGTGTGTTCTGGTTTGGTTTTGTCCACTCAGGGGCAATGTAAAGGGTTTCCATTCTTTCCATTCACCGACTTGTGTGGATCTGGAGAAAGCTGGTTGCTGTAGGGTGCTTTATTGTATAGATGATATTAGCTCTCCTTCCCTTTTTGTACTGTACCTGCTCAGTAACATTATTGTCAATGCTGCTTTGAAGCATCATTCAACGAAAGTAAGTGTAAACTATGGTACCATCATGGAAAATTTACGTAAGATTCGTTTGTGTTTCTTATGATAAGAGAATGTATTCAAAATCATTTGTCCTCCTTTCTCCAGTTCCTTCTTTGTATCGTATTGCCTACTTCCTGTTGTGGTTTCTGCAGGACTGGGAGAATAATAATAATAACATACTGATCGGATGTTCTGCCAAAGTCCCTTCCTGTAAATCAGATCAGAAGAATGCTTGTGGTGTCCCTCCAGCTCACAAATTCTCACTTGAGCAATATTTCTAAAGGCAGTGATGCTGAGTAGGCTTGAATTCAGGGCAGAGTTTGACCCCTTGAAACACATATGCTGAAGTTAGGGATCTTGAAGTTTGGCTTTTTTGATTTTTCTAATGCTGGTGTCAGGAGTATAGGCTTACAGCTCTTAGAGAGCTCTTTGACATGGGGTGTTTACATCCATATTGTTGGCTATTTGTGTCCTTGCTGTATTTGCGAAAAGGGAAGTTAATACACTGGCTGATGGACTGGGCACTGCCACGTACGTGTTCCGAATGTCTGGGCTGCATAAAGGATCTGTTGGACTCGTGCTAAGACTTGTTTGCTTGGCCCAACCCTTCCATTTAGGGAGTGATTTGCAACTTCGCCTCAGTTTGCTACTGTGGGCATGCATATAAACAAGATTACTTAAAAATATAATATAACCAGATTCTAATTGAAAAACAATACTGAGGTGCTGAGGTGTTTTGTTTTTTTTAATATAAGAAGTTTGGCCAACTTCTTTAAGAAGGTCTACTTAGCACCCCGCCCATAACCATTTTCATATAGTTGTATTTAAAAACTAAAACCTGTGTTTTCTTTGAGCTGTAAAGCTAATAAAGAAGGATGTGCTCCTAAATAAAGTCTTCAAATCCTTGTCTCTAAGGAGTTTTAACAAAGTTACTTAGGAATAAAATAGAAAAGTCCTTCGGAATTATAACTACTAGCAGAAAAAGTGTCTTAAAGACATTTTTTTTTGTTGTTTTAAAAGCATTACCGTACATATCTCTGCACACCAAGAATCTTCAATCAGGATTTTTCTTTAATAAACCAGGCTTCTCTGAATTATCTGAATAAATAATTATTTTTAGAATTATTTAAAGGGTTTTAATGAATGAAGTGAATAGTTTCAATTGAATTAGTTTTCTATAACCAAAAACCTTTGAAAAAAATTATCAATGCTTTTAGATGAAGTAAACTGTTCAACAGCATCAATGAACTCTCAGTGCTATAAACTCTGACTTCAAATTAACATTTTTAGGTTACCTAAAACTTTTTTTTAAGGAGTTGAAATTAACGTAATTTGTTTCCAGCAAGGCTAGTGAGAATGTAGCTAAAAATACTCAAAATATTGCAGCTTGTAAGGGGATCAAATCTTATCTTTTTCAAGGTGACCTTGCGTTTATTTATCTGGGGATCCCCCACCCTTGCATTTATTTTTCTGTGGATCTACCTGCACACCAACGTGTCGAGGTTTACAGCTTTAATATGAAGAAAGTCAACCAACTTGTTTAAATTAATGTTCATTTTAATAGGAGAAAAACTTCACTTTCCTGTAATCCCAAACACCCCCCAACTCTTAACCCAAAGCCAGCAGCTAAGGCTAGGTCGCCAGACCTACGGCTTTCTCAAAAACAAAATAAAAAAAAAAAAAAAAAAAAAAAGAGAGGAGCTAAACTTTTTAAAGGGCCTGTCTGTAAAAACGCGGAGCGAGGATCGCGCTGGAGCCGGGGACTCATCATGCCAGGGCGGCGGTGCGTGTGCCCGGGCGCCGGTCTGCGGCAGTGTCCCGGCGGAGCTGCGCCGTGCCGGGCCCCGCCGGTGCGGTGCTGGGGCCGGGGCTGTTGCCGGTGCGGGTGCGGAGCGGAGCCGAGCGGTGCCGCGCTCTCCTCCCGCTCGCTTTCTCTTTCCCCCTCTCTCGCTCGCTCCCTCTCCCGCTCGCTCTCCCCCCTCCCTCCCTCGCTCTCTCGCTCTCCCTCTCTCTCTCCTACACTGCCAGCCCCTGATGTGATGGCGAAGAAACCCCGTTGACAAGGCACTGCTTTTTCATGACGGTGAGTTTCCCTTTGAGTGTATTATAATTTTGTGATAAAAATTTCAAGGAAAAAAAAAACACACAACCTCCTTCCTCCCTTCCTTCGGGGAGGGAAAAGAGAGGGGGGAAATCTATCTCCAGACAGACAGAAAAGAAAGAGGAGCAAATTAACAACCAGGAGTTGCCAAAACCAGGATATTAGGTTTCAGCCCAGAGAGCTATTGGCTCTGGGGCTATGTATATAAATATATATCTAGAGAGAGAGCGAGCGAGAGGGGAGACGAGGAGGAAGAAGAGGGATATTTTGTGGGTGGCTGTTGTTTGGGCAGATGTGGATTCACATGGAAATGAACTATATATATTATTTTTTTTTTCCGCGAGGCTGGTGGTGGTGACTGCTGAGGGCACTTAAAAAAAAAAGTTGTTTCTTAAAATATAGGCGGCGGGGGGGGGGGGGGGGTTGAAGGGAGAGATAAGGTTTCAGGTCCAGGCTGATAGCTGCAGAGAGGGGAGAGGTTTGGGGTGGGTTTTTTTTTTTTTCTTGCTGATGCCATGCAAATTCAGGAGAGGAGGGAAGAAAAATCTCTTTTAATGACTCATTGATTGAGCCGGTTTAAAATTAGTTGTTGTTGTTGTCTTTTTTTTTTTTTTTTTATTTTCCGCCCCCTTGATGGCCATCAAGAGAGGAATGGAAAGAGGAGAGGAGGGAGAGTGTGTGTGTGTGTGTGTATGTGTGAGTGTGAGAGAGAGAGTGAGAGGGAGAGAGGGGGATAGAGAGAGTATGTGAGGGAGAAAGAAAAATAATCTTTTCAAATCTCCTCCCTCTTTTTTTTCCCCCCTCGTTTCTTTGCTTTTCTCTAAAGCTCTGTGGTCTGTGAAACACTCTTTTCTTCCTCCTCGTCGGGAAAATGGAGACACTTCGTCTCTCTCCTGGCTGTGCAGCTGGGAAGGATTTTTCTTTTCTTTTTTCCTTTTTCACTCACGGCTCGATTTTTTCCTTTACCCCGTCCACTCGCCACCACCCTAATCTTGTCTTTTCTTTGAGCTTGTGTCTCAGATTTGTACCTTCTGGGGATTTATTTTTCAGTCGTTTCCTCGTTTTCGGTGTCGCCATTAGATTTGATTTGATTTGTTTGGTTCTTTATTTGCAATTTCCTCCGAATCTCTCCGTGCCTCCTGCTTTTAACCGAGGAATGGAAACGGTGCCGCTTTTTGTGGGTGCGCGAAATGCTCGGGCGGTAGGTTTGGGCTAATGCGCTTTTTTTTCGCCTTTTCGGGACTAAGTTTTCCGATGTGCCTTGCATTTTTATTTTTTTTTTAATTATTGTTTTCCTTTTGGAGAGAGAATATTTAACTGTAATGCCTCTTTAAAACACAACAATAAAGCGTCTCTTTCTGGAGTGACCCGTTTGGCTTCGCTGTAGAGGGGATGTGAATCCGATCCTCTGTGCTGCTGGGATTATTTTCCGTAAAAGAAACAATGTTTTATAAATAATTTTTTTATTTGTGCCTTAAAGCAGTAGTCGGTCGTGGAGGCGGTTTCCTGAAATGCTCACTGTTCACATTCATTGATTTATGGGCGGGATTCAGTGTGTCAATTGTATTTTGCTTTTGGTATTAATTGCAAAATTCAGTTACAGATGATGGCAGAAAGCAGATGTGGAGGTATTACAAAAACCGGGCAAAATCGAGCGACGTATAGAGGGCACGTTTATATTTACTCAGAGCTGTTCCTAATCACTGTGGGGAGGAAGGAGATATGGAGGCCTTTGCTTTTCCCCATTCTCTCTGCTCCTCGCTCCTTTCCTCCTCGGGGCTCGGCAGCGCGGGATGGGAGAAGGATTGAAGGAGAGAGGGGAGAGCGGCTCCGGAGGCGGCCCGGGCTCGCCGGGCAGCGCATGCGGCGCATTCCCGGGTGCGAGTGGGAGCGGAGGAGTGTGGGGAAGATGGCGCTGCCTGGCTCCCTGCCAGCGTTTGTTGCGCAGTTTCACCCGCTCTCCTCCCCCACGGGCGCCATTTTAAGGTCCTTTCTGCTGTCGCCGCGCCGTGTGGGGCGGTGCCGTCGCGCCCCGCTCGGGCCGTATTTCTGTGTCTGTCTCGGAAGCGTTACTGTCGTGGGCTTTGGGAGCCTCTCCCCCCAATCCTAAAAGCCTTTCTTCCCTCCCTGTACCCACCCCCTTCTTTCTTAGTCCTGTGTCACTGACTTAGGGGGGTTAAACAGGCTTGGTTCACAGGGGCCAGTGCTCTCAGCCGAAAGCCCGTCAACATCCCTTAAAAGCTTGTTTTCTTATCTCTGAAATACGTGTTTCGTGACATTCAGAGTATAGGAAGGAAAAAAGATTTCAAAAACCTCTTTTGAACGATGACCAGAAAAATAAAACATGGCATTAAAAAAAAATGCACCTTTAAAGAAATGCACTAGGGCATTTGGTCGAGGTAATCTTTGAAAAGCCTTCGGTTCCTTTAAAAGTGCTCGCAGAAATACCAGGGCAGGGAACTTATTGTTGGGTGGGTAGGTAACTCATTTTGTTGCTGTTACTGTCTTGGTAATTTTTTTCTGGTGTGGGGACACACTAGCATTTTTTCAAATTTTTATCACTCCTATATGTCTCACAGGAAGCGGTGCTTTTTGCAAATTACTCGATTTAGCAACTGTACTTTAATATACTTTTAAAGTTTTGGCTTGGTGCTGTTTTTAGGGGGAGTGTTGAAAATAGCTTGTTTAAAATTAAAACCACCTTTTGTTTGTTTTACATTTCTGTATAATCTGCGCAGTGCTCGTGAGGCTTGAGTTTAATACGAACAACATCTGTACTCAGGAAGAGCAAGTATGCTGCCAGACCAACTCATGCTGTGCCCACTAAGGAGTGTGGAGTGCTTGTTTAGTTCTTCAGTTTATGTTTTTTGACACATCAGAGGAAGGCTTCCCTATGCTCTTTGTTCATTCCTAAAGGACGTGAGAGATTTTTTTAAATTGTGGATTAATTTTACGGGTGTTTAAATTCTTTGCCTCTTGGCATTGAAGGGTTTTAAACATTTCTGTGAAATACATGCATTCATTGCTTGGAATATACTAAAAGAAGTGTGTGTATATAAATTGTTTTTCTAAAGACTTTCACAACCTTTTTTACATTTTGGCTTTAAAAAAAATAGCTATAAAACTTTGTTTACAAATATTTTGAACGTGGAGTACAGTATCTGTTCACATATTTCAGAAATCTTATTTCATGGAAGTCACTGTTTCTTGAAGTGCTTATTTAACATTTTTTGTTCACAGTAGCCTTGGGATCAAGATAGTGAATTCTTTTTTTAATGGTAGAGTATTTTTATATAATAAAATTTCTTTATTATACCCTAATGTCTGGCAGACTGTGTGTGGTTTCTTTTCATTAATTAGTGAAAATAATGAAGATGTGGCAGGAATGGTGTGATACTTATGTATTTGGCTGTGTTCTTATTTCGTGCATACTTTAAGTGCTTACTTTCTATGTTATACCTGTATTCTTGAGTTGATAACATGCTCAGTATGTGTGTGGACTTAGCTGAGGTCACTGTACTACTGTAGCTAAGTATTTACATCACCTTAGAGAAGTGCAGTTTTCCTGCCCCAGCCCCTCCATGTGTCCTTTTCCAGTGGAGTTCATATATTTAGTTTAATTGTACTGAGGGGAAACCCCCAAAGTTCTGCTAGCATGAAGTGCATTTTCATTTTCTGCCAAGGGCCCTTTTTGTATCTGTAAAGTTTTGCTGTAGTGGTAAGTCCATAGTCTGGAACTGGAGGGGCTCTGGAGACATGGATGCCTAGGTATTCTGCTTGCTGCATTTCCAGAGTTTTGCTGGCATACTTCCACATGTGTTCCAGAAAAGTTGTACCTGTATAACTGCAGTTCGGTTTTACAGTGTGACTCTAATGGTCAATGACTGTGCCTTTTCAAGCTACATTAAGCTTGTGGTAAATCTAATTACAGGTGCTTTTTAGCATGAATGTAGCAGTGAGAGTGTGAAAGTGTGTCATTCCTGTCTGAGTAGTAGCTACAGTCCAGGTGTAAGAGCCTCTTTGGTGATGTAGTTCATGTTGTTCAGAGTTGGCATAATTTCTTACAGTAGTTCTGCTGGAAAAAGCCGCGTCTGTGCTCGAAAGATTTTTTATGGTGACATACCCATGTCTAGCGTAAGACATGGGGTTTGTCTATAAAAACAAGTGTGTTTTGCTTTCTTAGGGTAGAGGAAAAACAGCAAGATTAATAAACTGTTCAAACATTCATTGTGACCTGCCACTGTTTTAGTTTGAAAGTCAGAGTGAACAGTTTCACTAAGGCCCTTGTTGCGCCAACATAAATGCATAAGCACCAACCTGATGTTTTTTCAAGGTCATCACATAGTTAAATTAATATGTGTATCTTTTTTTCGAGTGTTCATTTGCTCCTGCTTTCCTCGTTGAAAAGAAACAACTGCTGTGTCTATATTCTTTTATAAGAATTGTTGAGGTTTTAGACAGAATAAAAATTAACATGATTAACTAGCACAAATAGACTATCAAGGTTTTTAATTGCTTTATTTTCTTGCACTAGTTTTAAAATGTTCTAGAGCTGCTTCCACTGTTACACTGACTTAAGGGAAACCTTACTAAAAGGAATAGAGAGAAAGCAGACAAATCACTGTCAAAATGTAATACAGTATCTTTTGTTTAATTGAAAGTATAAAGAAAGGGTGGTGAAGTGAAGAGAGGGGAGGTCTGGGGAGAAAGTCTTAGCTTCATTGAAAGGGACTCATCATTTCTGTAAGGTTTGATCTTATGCTTCCACTTGATCAGGTGGAACTTGCAGTAGTTTTACTGTGAATTTGATACAAGTGTGGAATTTCAGTATCTGGTGTTGAAGCTTGATTTTATTATGATAAGTCAATTACAGAAAATATCTTGGGCCTCACTGAGATCACATTCAGATGACAAAATCTCCTTCAGAACGGACAGGATTGGTAGCGTGGAGGATTTTCATCCTGGTTTTGGGGGTGTTGATATGGACCACACTGCTGAATTAGTTACACATTTATCAATTCATCATATTCAAATTTCAGTTGATAGCTAGAACATAATAACTAAGAGTAGTATAAATCACTGTTCAGCTTTAATTATTGGTAATTGTTAGCAGACACTAGCTTGTGTGAACCATGCTTGTGGCAAGGTAATTAGTTTTTGGTTTTTTGGATTTTTTTTAAACTAGTATGGACTAGAGTGGCAATGAAAAAGTATTCATTTGGCATTGCTTTATAGATCAATTGAGAAGTGATCGGTTCATAAGGAAATTACATTCTGCAATTGCAAAATTGGTTTTTCAGAATCTTTGAAAACTGTATGCACAGAATGAGAAGTATGATACTCGGTATTCTCTAGTAGAAACAAGGTAGAAGCATCTGAAGAACCGACTCGACATTCCCTGAAGTATCATGTTGCACAAAATAACATATGCTAATAGTCTGCATTATTGCTTAAGAGCATCTAATATCTTTTGGGCAGGCGAATATTTCTTTCCTAAGGAATTGATGAGATTACACCTCCTTCTTTGCCTCTTTTGGGATGAAACCAGGACCTTTCAAAATGTTTTACGAATATTGAAATTCCCGAGGAATTGTGTATGCGGTGGAGCAGCTTGGAAGACAGAGCCCAAACTAGGACATAGCATAGTGTTGAGGATAGTCACTGCTGGGGAAAAGGGCTCAGCCCAGTGTTCAGCCTGGGGAATCCCGTGGGGTAGGTAAGCATCCTGACCTCCAGGCTGAGGTTACTCTGCCTTTTCTCAATGTGATTTAAAAAATCTGTTTCCTGATGAAAGTCTTGTCAAGATTTTCGTGTTGCCAAGAACAGCTGTGGATGCACTAGGAAAAACTTGTGTTGAATAAATTAGAAATTCCATGCTGAACTGTGTGTCTGAGGGAAACCAGATTGTAGACAGCCACACTGAGGGTTCACACGTGTACGTGGTCTGTTGGCTGTAGCTGGATTGGCCTTTACTGTCATACATACTGTTAATTGAAATGCACATTTTTGGTTTTTTCTGAATATAATAAAATATCACTGTAGCATTTTGAAGTTTAAGTTACCACATTTGCCAAACTCAAATCAATAATTTTTTTAATGTTGTATTAAGGTGAAATAGAATATAAGAGTTGGATAAACAGCCTATTTTAGGTTTCTCTGTGCTTTAGTGTGTGGTTTTTACTTGCCCTTCTGTGTGTGGAG